GGCATCCTATACCCCTTTATATCTTGCACTCCAAGGATCTAATGCATACCATACCACATTAGTATATAGGGTAGAAGTTAAATCCTTAACTAGTATTATATTAATTTGGTAAAATTCAATATCAAAGAATTGCTCATCCACTAATTCTCATTGCCCTACATAACCTATGGAATTCCTTATGTGACCATAATTCGATTGATGCAACAATATTTTTGAGTGTAACAACCCTGTTGATGGAATTTTGTTATAATCCTTGAGTACAATTGTGCTTTTGGACACAACATTGAAGAATTGCAAAATAAAAATTAAGGAAAGGGTGAGAATTTTCAAATGATTTGAAAGAAAGGAAAGAAATAAATAGGAGAAAATATAAAATGATATTAAATCTTAGTTTTCTTAAAAATCAAGTTATCCAATATTATATGATAAATTCTATATCCATTTACAAGAACAAAATTCATACATCTTCAATTTAATGCAAGACCATCATGTATAGAATTTATACATATGCTAAGTTTTAGTTTAGCCTAAAATCATTTATCATGCTCATATGACTCTTAGATCCATTTCTTATCTTTAGAAGTTGTTGGAAGTTTCATTAGCCAGCCAAATATCTATATAATGTGGGGATTTGAACCTCTAACTACTAGCTTCACTAACAAGATATGTTTCAGGGATGAGTAAGAATAAAAGGGCACTACGCAGAGACTCACATTCAAAGCCCTTTCTCAAGATCACTCATATGATTATTAGAAAGGCTTAAACTCTAATTATCCCTTAGGTCACCATAGTATCCCTCCATACCATTCACCCAACATCGTATAGTGATATTGTGATTTCTTTTTCTATAGGAGAAAGATATCCACACTTATTGCCATCTTAACAGTCCATTTCTCTTTGGAGTTAAATCTTCAGGTTGCACACGTAGCCCCAATTCAACTAGGATTAATATCCTATCTGATAAGTCTGTAATAATGCCCTTTTTTATGACCTCTATATTTACGTTTGACCTTTATTTTAATTAGATTTTATACTAATTTATGTATTAATTGTGCAGTTTAGTGTAAAGAGGTTACAAATGAATTTTGGGTGCGTTTTGGGCTCAAACTAGTGGAAAATCAGAGCTTTAAAATAGTCAGCACGCCCAGACCCTTTCAACAAGTACGGGGGGTGCTTTGAGCCTATGCACGATTGTGCTTAAGGCCTTGTACGGTCGTGCTCATATGCAAGAAGCCTAATTATGAAGAGCTTTTAGGGTTTTCAAACCCTATAAAAGAAAGACCTTAGGCATCCTGCGCGTGGGGGATGAGGGACCTTTTTACATCTTGTCTTTGACTTTTTGATACACCTCTTATCTCGTTTCTCTTACACAGGATCTTTGATATACTCTTGGCGGGACTTGGAGCTTTGAGCGATCGTACTTGAAGTCTAGAAACTCATCTCACACTCTAATTTGCTATTTCTTTTGATTATGCCTTTGTTTATGATTGCTTTAGTTCTTTCCTTTAACATGAGTAACTAAGTCCATAGTTAGGGCTATGAAAACTATTGTTCATGAATTTATGGAGTTTTGATGTTTGAATCTAAATTTGATTTTCGTTCCGTGATTAGATTTTATCCTATTGTGCTTCCTTTTTAATCTTAATTAATTATGTTATCAGGCGACCATACCTCGGTTAGTCAATGAATCTATAAGATAAAACGAGACAAATGATTAGGTGAACCAAACCAATCTTTCTCTTCTAATCATTATTAAATTAACAAGTTCATTGGTGTTTTATGCTTTCTTAAATTGATATCTTGCATAACCATTAGGGATATTAATTTAGATAAATAAAAAAAAATTAATATTGCATGACCATTGAGTATTAATAATATTTGTATGAATGATTCGTAATCACAAGGAAATCAAATTTAGAGTTAAACAGAAAAATAACATAAATGATTGAATGAGAAAATTCATATGCCCTAGGTTTCTCTCCTATAAGTTCAATCAAGATGTGCATTGTGTTATTTGCTTTTATTTAAAATTAATTTTTATAATTAAATTCTGATTCTTAATTTTATATCTTATAGGCTCAAACAATTGAATTAAGAAATTTTTAGTAATTGGAAATCAATTATTGTAGGAAGATATTTCGGGAACTTATTTTAGAACCCTTTGTTATTTCTCGATAGATACACTTGCCCTTCGAACACCATCTCATTTCACATCATGCACTCAGGTGTTAGCTTAAATCCAGTATCAACATCCCCGTATTCAACTATTCTGATAATTTCCATAAAAGATTGACTTATACCCATACCATTGTTTTCAAGTACATCTACTAAGGGTCTCTCTAGCTTACTAACCTTGCCTATTTCTTTGAATTTCTAATTTTTTTCACCTAGTTTGTTTACTACACATCATTCAAAATATATTAGATTTTCACAAACGTTTACTTTTATTGATTCAGTTATTAATGTTCGATTATGAATTCAAGATTTGAGACATACAAGTGGCTAGACTCATTTGAATTCACTTACATGTCAATTCTTTTCAAGCATTCTTACTAATGCATACATACCTTCTCAAGGGCTCATAATTACAATAGGAGTCTCAATCTACCTGTCTATGCATATATGCATGATTTCAACCAGCTATTGGTCATCAATTAACATGTCAAACTAGAATTTAAAATTATTTAATCATTATATTCATATTCAAATGTCATCATGTGTGCAAGACTCATGCATATGTAAGTAACCAAGTCTTCTAACTTAATATTGCATCATTTATCACCAGCAAAGGTGGGTTATATTCACATAGGCATCCTACATTAGGCTTGCTTATTATCAATTTCTTATTTTGATTAACATTATAGATTAGGATGATTAACTTATAATGACTTAAAAGTGACAAAACTCTAATTAAAAGATTATATTCTTTTGTAAATTATAAAGAATCAAGTGTCTAAGTGTTTTTATCCAATATAATTTGATTTGATTTTCTTAGGTAATAGAATATATATGTCAATTTATAGTTTTGTTCATTCAATTAATTTTAGTATACTTAGTACTGTGTTATAAAACTCAATTTTTATTACCTTTAGTATTCACAAAGTCTATGAGCCTAAACTTTACCATAAAATTTTACTTAACTTAGTATTCAATCACACAATTTACAACATATGCAAATATATCAATCTCATTTTCAAACATAACATGTATATAAACTCAAGAGAGTGATGAATTTTCGAGAGCTTTCAACTATACACAACATTCACAGTTTCACCAAGTTTATTCCTACCTATTCCCTTAACTTCTAATTCAAGTCACATGAAAGTCCTCCCACTCATCTTAGAAACTAACTCAATTTAGTGAACAAAAGATGCTTTACTTTCAGTCTTGTTTGACTTATGCGTGTGTCTTTCTTAACGAGGTTGACAATTATCTTTTCTAAACAATTTTTACAAAAAGCATGTGAGGTACCAATACATTCCTTTTTCAAGGACATAGACCAAAAAAATTCTTTAGAGGAAGTTTTTAAGTAAGGTAACAAATTTTAATTGCCAATAAAAATGCTAAAATTTACTAGATCCTAACACCTATCATAGTCTAGTAAGTTTCACATTTTTTGTGATGATACTTGTTTTTTTTCAAAAATAAAACAAATTTGTCTCTCTATTTGATACGTGATACTTGCTTCTTCTTTTTTAAGCGTCTTTGATCTTTCTCTCTCACATTCTTAAGCATTTTTATCTATCAAATCCTTTTTTGCATAGTACACAACGTAAAAGTTATATATATGAAAGAAAAAAAGAGAGAATTAAACCCATAAAAAAGAAAGGTGGAAAAAAAAATTATAAATGAAAAAAATACATATCTTTATTGATGTTGAGGTATGTTTGAGAAAGAATTTGACAATCACACATATGAAAAGTAAGTAGGTATACTTTTTTTTATCAAATAATACCTAAACTTGACCAGATCAAGACCCGTAAAAAAGATGAAGTAGATGAAAAATAACATTTGTGGAGTAGAGAGACTAATTAAAAAAAAATAGTATTGCTCATTACAATTTTTTTATTATTAAAAAAAGTAAGTATTACCTATCAAATGATGAGATTGATTTTTTTAAAAAAAAGTAAGCATCATTACAAAAATTGTGAAACCTCTAAATTATGAAAAGTGTCAAGATTAAATAAGTTGTGCACTTTTTGTAATGATATTTTTTTTTAAAAAAAATTATATCTAGTCGTTAATAACAGTGAGACTTGTGACTAAAAAAATCTCAAACATGAATTAGATTTTGAAAATTCATATTTTAATAATTTAATTTTCAATTAACAATAATAAAAATAATCTCATTCTTAAATTCAAATATTACAAAATTTAGGTTTTTTTTTAAGACATATTCAACGAATAAATTTTAAAATTATTTAACTCAACAAATTATTAAAGATATATGTTTGATGATTCATTATCTATCTAATAATAAATAGTAATCTACTTTAATTTATTCATTAATTTTTACAATTAAATAAAATTATTAATTTATAGACAGATTAATTTGATGGATAGTGAATCAATGATTTGATTACCACTTCTGGTAAATATCAAACTTCCAATTATTGATGGAATGTTCCTACTTCCTATACTCGGCACATCAATGAAACGCAAATAGTAGAGCACTAAATAGTTCGTTCATTAATTTTAAAATGTTTTATCCTAAAATTTACGTTGAGAGTAGACAAATTTGGGGTATCAAGCTCTGTAAACCAATCTCGTTTAACTAGTTCAAAGAAAACACAGAATAGTTCTGAATATGAAACAACTGCTCGCTCAAGAAACACCTACCATTTTGATATACTAATCTGAGGACAACGTTTTACATTACACAGATTGGAACTATACGTTTAGCAGAAAACAGAATCATGTGAACATCAATGTGAAATCTACGCACTATGTACAAGTACCATGCTGAAACCTTACTGTCTGCTAAACAATTTTCACTGCTTTCATCCATTCACAGGGATCTTGTAATGATAACGACGAGCACAAAATATGAAAAAGCACATGTTTAACACTCCCAAAGCGGCAATGAGAAAATAGAAGTACTCTAATCTTCCCTTGTTAATGTCACTGTCAAGCCAATCTGGATGACCTTGCTGCCCAGTAAAAGAATGCACAACGTTCACTACGAAGCTGCAAAGGTTACTAGCAGCTGAAACATTGAGGCACAACAAAGAGTTGCCTATACTTTTCATTCCATTGGGTGACTCATTGTTGAAAAATTCAGTGTGCCCAACAGTTGCAAATACATGACAACATGCTAAAAGCATGAATTGAGGAGCTAGCCACAACACAGACATGGGTGCAACCCCATCAAGTGCACCTTGAGAAATGGCCAATTCCCTTCTCTTGATCTCCACCAACCCTGAAACCAACATTGATAGAATCCCACAAGCATGTCCAAGTCCAATTCTTTGAAGGGTTGTGAGTCCCCCTTCTTGCTTGGTGATTTTCTCTAGTGCAGGAGCAATTAATTGATCATAGATTGGGAGGAACACACCTATTGATAGTAACATAATTACATTTACAGAACCAGCGTGTATCTCAAAGTTGGGTGCCATGTGCCTATCCATTTTCAAGGCTTGTGATACTGCAAATACTGCTTGTTGTCCCACGGGAATGTTGACTATGATACTGCTTATGAATATTGGCATGATCTTAAGCAAGCATTTCAGCTCTTCAATTTGTTGGATGCTACAAAGTCTCCAAGGGTCTTTGCTTGATCCACTAGTGTTCAATTCGTTTTCCACCACAACAAGAGCAGCTTTGTTTAAGCACCTAAGAATATAAATTCAATCATTAACATTAAATGTTAGGTTGACCAATATTTCTTTATTGATTTTTTTCCTGATAACATTAGAGTGAAACTTCAATTCAGTCTTTGATATTATTACTGGTCAATTTAGTATTTAAAAATATGAAAAGCTAATTTAGTAGTTGACTTAATTTGACAACTACTAATTAATTTGGTACTTAAAATAAAAAAAATAATAATTTAGTTCTATTTTTATTATTAATGAATTTGATTTTGACTCGGTATGTATTAATTAATTTGGTCCCTATCATCAAAGACCAAATTGATTGGTGGTCGTAACATATAGGAATTAAATTGACTTGAAAATATTAAGAATCAAATTGACCAGCAGTGCCAACTTTAAGGATTAAATCAATTGGGTTGTCAAAATTTGGGATTAAATTTGCTTTTCTAAAGTGTTAAATGGTCAAATTGATTGTTGATATTAATTTCAGGACTAAATTGACATTTTATTCGAAAATATTATTTTACCTGTACTCAATTGTAAGAGGCAGCTTTACTTCTGAATCATTCTGGAGTGGAGGATCATAAAAGGCTTCTTGTGTGTCCTCAGCAGCAGGTAGATGAAGGTGGCGCTTCTGTTGGGCTGCAACTAGCACTTTAGCTATGCTAGAAAAGTTGCTTCCCTCAGGATTAACATAGGCATAAACTTTAGTGCCAGCAAAGAAAACAATTATTGCAATAAACATAAAAACACTGGGCAGTGCATAACCAAGAGTCCAGCTAACAGAGTCCTGGATATAAACCAAAAGAGTTTGGTTAATCAACATGATCAAAGTCTGTGTTGTGTAGTACATAGTGTAGAAGCAACTGCTTCCATGCCTTCCTTCAGCAGTGGTCAAATCAAATTGGTCAACCGCAAAGGGAATACAACAAGGCCTAATTCCACCAGTGCCTATAGATAACCAAAACAGACCAAAAAGTAGAACACCCAATTGGAAATTTGTGTGGCCTGTACACACACCACTTAGCTGGTGCTGAATTGAGCATGGTGCAGGATGAAATTGTGGCACCCACGCTGTTAGCATCACTATCACCATACCCTAATCAATTTTAAAACTAAGGTCATAATCGAAATCATTAAATATTCAGAAGTGATTTTATTGTAATTGTATCTGAAGAACACAGGATATAATAAACCCAAATCAAAATTAAAACGTACCACAAGACTAGCAAAGGATGCAATTGCAATCGTTCGAAACTTTCCCAAGTAGGCATCGGCAAAAAAGGCACCAATGAGAGGAGCAACATTGGAGATAGCAAGCCAAGTGTTCAAAATGGTTGCAGCATGCACCTGATCCATGTTATACACTTTCATCAAATACACCACAAAATTTGCTTGCATTCCAAAAGTTGCCAACCTCTCAATTGTGTCATTTCCTGCACATTTTATGGTAATTAGCCTCATAACATAATTTAATTGTTAGATACCAACATAAAAAATTATAACAATGTTTAGAGACATACCTAAAATGTATGGCATTGCCTTCCATCCAGGCTTCCTTGAGTGCGTCTTTGGCTCTGATTCAATAAGGCTCTCTTCATCTAGCAAATTTTTTTCGAGGGATGGCATTGAACTGCGTTTTGTTCTAGTAAATGAATAGAGTGAGCATACCCTACCCATTCTTGTTAATGACTCGTGTTATCAATTTTTGTAATTCTTGGGTGGAAGACGTGAGAATGTGTGGATCTTGTTTGTCTTGTTTATATAGTTCCTTATTGCTTTGATCGTTGAACTCAGTTTTAGATACATGGAGATTCGTGCAATAAATTTCTTACACGTAATCAAACCAATCCATATATTGGTTTTCTCAGAGCAATATGCAACCCTTTTCTGAATTATCTTCCTTATGGCTTGGTCATGTGAAAGTTAATTTAGGAAACTTTATTTTTACTAGATTTTTGTATTCGAAAAATTGCTTTGTCATGTATGAATTTATTAATATATACCATTAAATACCTGCCATATTACTCATGCAATTTTTATGATCTTTTAAGTCAGTCCTAATCCAAGGGTATAACGGATCTCTGACTTTAGACTTTTAAAAATATATATATTTATTAATATTTAAATAAAGTAAATATCAATAATAGTATTAATTTATTATTAGTTAATAAATTAATATTTTAAAAGACTTAAGACTTTTTTCTTAAAAGGATTTATTTCTCTTATTTTCTCCACTTATTAACGTTATTTTATATTTTCTTTGTTTCATTTGGACTCGCTTATTATAATACCATTTTTTTTCTTTTCTTTTTTTTACCACGCTGTACACTAAAAATGAGAAAGATGGAATAAAACTTTAATTTTTTTACTTTTTTTTTAATTTGGTATTTTAAATTTTTAAATTTTATTTTTGGCTTTAACTTTACTTTTTAATTTTGATTTGGTACTCAAATACTTTTAAGATTAAACCAAAAAAAATAATGTTAAAGGAACACATAAAAAAGTTTAAAAGATTAAACTAAAATTAAAAAAATAAGAGGACCAATTTAAAAACATAAAAAAAAATTAGATGATTTCAAAATAAAAAATAAAGTTAAAATAAAAAAGAACCTAATTTTTCTATTGAAAAATGTAAAAATAGTGAAAATGAAAATTCTCCTTAACATCTCACGTTGCATAAGAAAAGATTGTCATGAAATATCTGGAATTTTTTAAAATAAAAATTAATAAAGTTTTATTTAAAATCAACAATGTTTCAAGGAAGATTAAATAAATTATTATTCTAAATTAATTAAAAATATTAAATGAAATCGATTATGATAATTTAATAACTACACTCAACTTCACCCTGATCTAGAAACCGTTCTTATAACTTATATATTATTTTATTATTTTTATCCTCAAATTTTAATAATTTTTTAATTTAATTTTAATAGTAAAATTTTTTGTACTATTCATCAATGAGAATATACCGTAGATAAAGTTTTTATATTAATTATTATAAAAGTCAGAATTATTATTGATATAAAGATTCACAATTGAGTGATGCTGTAATAAATTAAATTCTATTTTTTCATTTTCTATTTTTTAATATTACAATTTATTGTAATATAATTTTTTATTTAATATTATATTTTTTATTTTAATATTTAATAAAGTATTTGATTTTTAGGCAAAAAATAATAATAGTCTACAGAATTAACTAGAAATCTTAAAAGTATAATTTAATCTACAAAATAAAATAAAAAACTTAAATATGTTTTCATCCTTATATTTTACTAATTTTTTTGTTTTAGTTCTTCAAACAAATTTTTTTATTGAATTTTTTATTTTAGTCCCTTTAAACAAAATTTTTTATTAATTTTTTTTATTTCAGTCTCTTCAAACTAATTTTTTTTATTTTGATATTTACTAAAAATTACTATTTATTCATCCGTTATTATGATTATTATTATTTTAATTTTTTTGGGTCTGAATTCATCCTTTATATAAGTTTCCTTTTAAAATACTGATAAGCAACATTCAAGAAAATAGGTAAACTGCGGTTCTTTTTTTTGTTTTTTTTCCTGCAATGTCTTGCTTTTACATGTTAACTAGTTTAACAGCGACGGTATTTTTTTTATTTATTATTATTATTATTATTATTATTATTATTATATATATATATTAATAATTTAATCTTTAAAGAATAATTTTTTTATTTCAATGAATAATTTTTTTTATTTCAATGAATAATTATAAATATATAATAGATTAATTTGAGTAATTTTTTAAAATTATATTGATTTAATTTTATAACAATGAATAATATGTATTAAAATAAAAATTAATTTAATAAAATTAAATAATTTTAAAATAATACTAAAAACGTTTTAAATTGAATGACGACGATCAATAAATATTAATAATAATAAGTTTAAGAGATGAAATTCTTAAATGTAAACTTTAAATTTAAAAATTTATAAATATAAGAATAAATATTCACAAAAAATAAAAATTATATGAAATAATAAGGAAAACTTAATTAAAAATTTTAATTTTCAAATTTTGAAATGAAATTAATAAAAATAAAGGTAATAAATTATTGCAATAAAAGAGAGTGTAATTCACATTTCAATTTTAATTAATTTTAATTAAAAAATATACATGTAACATACTATAACAGAGAGCAGCTCCATTAATGCTTCAACAATTAACTTTCATTTATAATATAAAAATAATTAACCTTTTTTTAGTTTCGAAAACAATAATTAATTCACAACAAAATATCATTCTTAAAACTCTCAAAACTGAAAAATGTTGAATATAATATATATATATATATATATATATTATTCTTTCAATTTTATTAATGTTTAATTATATGTTTATATAAAGTTTAAAAATAATATTTTAATTATTAGTTTCTTTTACTAATACTCATTGATCTAAATTTTTTTAATACGTGACCAAAAATATATAATAATAAATTATAGTAAAATTTACAATATTTAATATTAGCAATACAATAAATTTAAAAAATTGATAAAGAAATATTATGTATAAATTTCTAATTGAATATCCTTTAACACATTAAAAGAAATCTGATATATATTAAAATTGATAAAGAAATGATATACATGTTAAGAATTTAAGAGTAAATATTTTATTATTTTAAATTCTTAAGGCATTTAATAAAATATATTTAATTTTTTAATATATTTCTTGAACATACATAAAAAAGTCATAAGTTTTTAAGAATAATAAATAAAAAACTTTAATTAGTTGACTAGTCCAAATTTCAAAGAGACTCAATAATAAATAGTTAAAGAACTAAAAGTGGAAATATTATGTTAATAAATATAATAAATACATCTCTTTTATGCTTTTTATTATAATTTAATTTTCAATGAAAACTTACTATTTTTAAATCCTTCACAAGGAATATGAGTAATATATACATTCGAATTCCTTCTTCTCATGTTTTGAATTTATTGCACAATGCTAGTATCTGGGTGAAATAGGGGCACTTGATCAGAATTGCTATCCTTAACCACTTCAAAGACACCATATTCACGAATGACATCTCTATATCCCAATTACCAATCCAGCATGAGGCCTTGCTTTATAGCAACTAACTGTACCAGCATTATATCACTATTGCCAATAAGAGTAATGTTCACAAAAACTATATTTGACACATACTCTTTAATACATATTTTACTATTAGGTAAAATACATGAGTCTTATTCTTTTTCACTCTTAAATTAATGATTTTATAGTTTTAAATAAATTTTAACTAATAATAACTTATGTGTTAGAGAGTGTGTTAAACAGTATTTTGTTAAAATTATTCTAGCCAATAAACTTATGAAGTGTGTGACACATACGCCTTTTGTTGTTTTCTATTAGCCTATTACGCATTATGCCATCAATACCACAAATGTTATCCGAGTACCTTCTGTCGCTATTAATTTTGATTGTATTATGAGGAGGAGAAATCCAAACCACAAATTTTCTTTGGCTATTATAAATATAATCATCTATTTACTTCCATAAATAATTTTTTTTTGAAAAATGTATATAGACTTGGGTTTCATTGCAAGAGTTGTAAGAGAATGAATTGCTTACTTTCATTGATCAAAATCAAGATTATTTATACACAACTTTCAAGTTGTTGAAATATGAAAATTAATTTATATAATAAAAACAAACAGAAAACAATTAACTTAACAATTCCATACAAGAAAAGTTAACTAAAACTATGACTTATTCAATACCCTTACAAGTTGGAGAATGGATACTAGGCATTCTGCATTAACAAATAGCTACAGGATAGGAAATATACTCCTACTGTAACACCTTATATTTAATTTTAATAAATCATAATTTTGTAAATTCAGAATAAAATAAATTTCATTTCAAATAAGGTTCTCAATCCTTGGTTTCATCAAATATTTTAAAATAAGGAAAAGGGTTACAATTTCTATCAAGTAACTACTACAGGACCCATTCAAATACATTAGTTTTAAATTAAAATCCTAGTCCTACAGCAGTTTCATCCGCCCCTTTCAAGTGCTGATCGTCTTGATTACCTGAAAAATGAATGTAAAGGTTAGTACTCTACACTACCAAAACATACATTTAAGCATAGAGTCTCACTTCCAACACATTTCCAATACATTAAACAAATACAAGCACAGGCAGCATTATCACATCCATAAGCACAATTCATGAACCCATGCATACTCATGCCAGCCACACTCACATTGACACTGTGATCACAAATTTACACCATGAATGGTCGCCGGTTACCCCCGCCTCATGGATATCACGTGGGCAGTCACGAGTCGCTCAGCAAATGTAATGGTCAGACGCCTAGTCAGGAAGAGAGTGTGTGACCCGTGGTGCACCGTTCCACAGTCGGTGTCACCATCACTCCCTCTTCCCCAAGGTATTTCTACCGTCCTCATCTCCCATACCCTCAGTGTATCGCTGAACCATTCACAGCACATTACAACGGTGTTACACGCCCCAATCACACACATTTCAGTATACGGCACATAACCCACATTTAACAATACACGACACTAGGCCCATATTTGTTCAACTTTACGGCACTAGGCCCACATTTCATTTTCACAGCA